TTTTCCATCAAATTCCTTTAATCGACTCAACTAATAAAGGAATTTGATGGAAAACTTGCCACGTGTCTTTGGAACAAAACACAATACTGCTGTACTGTATACTACGCCACAAATATAAAACAGGACAGGGTTTCAAAAAACAAAATTACAAATTCTGTTTATATTTGACGTTACTTGTATTAATAACTGGTACAAAATTAAAGCGAACGTCATTTTTATATTATTGAAAATAAATAATTAATTAATTAGTAATATGAATTTTCAATTACATTTATTTTCTAATTTCATAATAACTAAAACTTAAAATTTACCTTCAAAGTATAAAAATAGTTTTAAGAAAAAAATTCAGGGGCCATTAATTAATGATTAATTAATAATTTTATTTTAAAAATATTTATTATTTAATTACATTTTATTTTCGAAAAATATTACGTAATTTATGCAAATGAAGACTCGTTAAAAGTGAATGTTTCGTATTCATTTATTTTTATATTTTTAAACGATAATGGCTACAATAGAGCAGATTACAGAACAAAAAGGTCAAAGAGGTAAACGACATATTTAATATTTTCGGATGTAAACATAATTTAACTACATGTAGCTTTTATACGCTATATTTTTAATTATTTTTTTAAAGGTAGAATGATAATTAGTCAATGCAGAATTTGTTATCGCCAGGCATGGAATGATTATTATGGATGTGAGGCGTGCAAACGTTGTCTTCAGTTTGTTTTCACAGCAATCATTCACAGACGTTGCTACAGATGCCGTATGACTAGTAACTGCGAGTCGCTTTATAAATGTAAATTTTGTACTTTACAGAAATGTTATAAGAAGGGTTTAAAACCGATCAGGTTTGGAATACATTCTCGAGGATATTATTTAAAGGATAAAGAAATTCTGCTACATAAAGTTCAAACTAGAGTAAGAAACTTGCTATTAATAATTATCTTAAAATTCTGTTATAATAGTAGAATTTCGTTAATGCGGTATTTAGGAAACCAGAATGGTGTGTGATTACTGAATATTCAGAGACATAACTACTGCTAAGAGCGGTTAAATTAAATGACGTCCATGAGAGTTTGGTACTCGTTCTACTGAACAGATTTAAAATTGGTAATTTAAATTCCATTACCATTTGAACGTATGAGGCCCTCCAATGCTTAAAAACCTTTACTATATTTTACTTTGGAGTCTAAAGTATGTAGTAATAAGCAAAAATATTTGCAGTGGGGAACACTGCACGTATTTTTGTATTTTCGCAAAATTCAGAAAGTTTCGTGCAATTTGAACATTGGACGTGTTTCCGAGAAAACGGCTTTAATACACTTGAATGAGCAAAGCAATGACATTGTCAATTAGAAAGCCCGTTTCATTTAAAACATGCTTTTTAATTAATTGGCTTGCTAATCCATATACACTAAAGCTGCTATAAAAGGCAACGCGCCCATTGCCGTACGTTTTACATTAGCAAACGTTGCTGTATTATTCTGATTTTAATAATGCGCACTCTTTAACTAGTCTGAACTTCATACACTGCATGACTATATTGTGCCACACTCGATTCCACCCAGGATCATTTACATACCGCGTGTGAAATTTCCATTTGCGGAACACTGCCATTCTGAGATTTTCCCGATTATGGGTTGCCGGATTAACGAACTTCTACTGTAAGTAGTCATTGTAATTTAATTTACTACATTTTTTTCAAGGAACCGAATAAATCTAACATACAAAAAGAGATCCTGAGTTTTAAATTTTTTCTCCACCGAAGACTGGATGTTAATTTAGTATGGGTAATAAAAAATATGCGTATAACGCCATCAGACAGAAACAGAATGGTAGTTTAAATTAATAATTTAAATTTAGTCTTCAGAAATGTTAATAGAAACAAGTCCTTAACTGCTTTTACAGGGCCTATATCCGATGAAAGCTATAACCTTGCAGATCGTACAAGAATCACTTTGTGCTCACGATGTTATAAAACTGGAAAATTATTATCACGATCCGTACAAATGTGAAATCGCACAATTGCAATACTTGACAATGAAGATTTTGAAACTGATACGAATGATGAGAGAAAGATTTTCCAATGGAAAAATTGATTTAAAAACGAAGATTCATTTAATATATTTTAAAGGTATTTACTATTCACATTAAAATATTTTTTCTTCATATTTTAACTATGAATAATAAGCAGCATAAATTTAGATTAAATAAACAGTAATATTTAAACTAACTAAACTATACGATTAGTGAGAGAAGGAAGTAGAAGTTCATACTTTTATACGAGAAAGTATATGAATTTTTGCTTTTACTTTTCTTACTATATTTAGTAATAAGTCTGTTTTTGTTTGTAGTGAATTATTATTATTTTAATTTTATAAATAATCTTGAATAATAAAAAATAATTTTCAGGGCCAAGAAAGAATCGCGTTGTACATGACGAAAAGCTTCAACAGGAATTAACAGAGATTGCTTTTTGGATGAAAGTCTGCTTCAGATATTTAGAAGACTTTTCTTAATGCCGGTTGTTATAAACAAGTTTAACTTTTAGAAGACATTTTTAATGAATTTTATTTCTTTGTTTATTTATAATTTGATTTTATATTGAGATATTTTGGCATTTTGTTAGTAATTTTTGTTGAATTATATCATCTGATTTTATTGAATATGTTAATGACTACAATAAGAGTATTTAATTGAACTTTAAACTTGTATACTATAAATTCTATGTACATAAGAAAGATACATCGCTTTTTAAAATAAATAGCAATCTATTAATTACATTCCTGGTTGTTATGTATAAATGAGTAAGAATAAAATGATCTTCACTCAAGAATTTTACATTCGTTGGCTTAGGATATCCTGAAACGTCTAGAACAGCAAAAAATTTCGGAGGTATTTTCTGTATGTATGGATGTTGGGTGGTGTGTTTGTGTGTGAAATTTTCTTTAATTTTGCTATATGGTTTGTTTTTAATGAGCATTAGTCGCGTGGAATTTTGGTAATTAAAGGTCGAAGGGGTGGGAAGATAATGGAGATCGTGTTTATCTCCAGTAGGGCCAAACGTCATGACAATTTTTCTTGTTATTAGCATCTAAACTTTTATATCAAACCCATCCCTATCCTCAAAATTTTAATGTTTTGCTATTTTACAACGGTTAATAAACGGTTAATAAAATCTTTTTATATTTTTAAAATGTCGTAACAGATGGCGCCACCAAATGTTTGGGAAAGTTAAGCAACTCGTTGCTGGTTTTTTTATTTGGTATGGCAAAACCATAATTATTTTGATATTACTGTATTTCAATAATAATAAACTTTAAATTTTACCACTTTTGAAATGTATCACGGGAAGTATTGTAATCATGTGAAGTTGGACACTCCGACTTTTTTGCAAATCTGGAACGTTGTGGGATTCCTTGTACCCAAAAAATAAAATTAAAAGAGAACATTTCATGTATGAGTGTGTATTGGCATTTATTTCTAATTCTTTTTCAATAGATCAGATTTAATGAATAAATTGCTGCACCTTCGTATATATCTAAGCAGCAATTTGGCATTTTCTCTTGACATTATAATTTATCATTATCTCATGAGTTTGGTAATAAAAAGTTTCTATAATATTCTATAATTTCGTGGTTCGTCGGGCTCGCGCCTAACCAACGGATAGCCGCGTAGAGTTTACCGGGTTTTCATCACCTGTCTAATAAGTAGGGTGCAGTTTACCATAGAAAGTCCTTCCGGGAGGCACCTCCTTTAGCAGATTGCCCCGAATATTGAGTTGCCTTAATTCATCAATCTGTCGAATCTACCGTTCGTATATTGTGTATACAATAGAAACTCGATTTTCCGAATTTGATGGGACCAGTAGTCAATACAGAAAATCGTTTATTTATTTTTTATTTATTTTATTATTACTTTTTTATTAGTTTTGGTTTTATCGCCCATAGTACATTTAAAATATTCGTAAGCAATAAATACTGTACTATTCGTAGGTATTGTACTATACTCTGTAGTATGTACTACAATGCTGGTTCTAGATTTTTAAAAATTGTTTCGGATAATCGAGTTTCCACTGCATTAATTAATTAAACAATTTTAAATACATTTTAAAACCATTTTATTGCAATTCTATGAAACACTTTTTATAGATATGATGAATAGATATGAATCAAGATCATAATAAACACTTTTAATTAAACCTAAGGTTTTCTCAGTGAAGTTAATTTCATCATCTCGAATTTCTGCATCATTAATTAATTTATCATTCAGAGATTTTGTTACTTCGTACAGTTGTACAGTAGAATCTCTTACATCATTTTTATTAGCTTGTCGAATTACATGTTTGTCAAGTGCTTCAAAAATATGTTTTGCTGGATTGTATACGTTCTTAACGTTTTCCTTCGTTACCGATTCGTAATCTTCATCTAATTTCTTGGCTTCTGCAGTCAAAGCGTCTACCATACCAGCGATTTCCTTGCTGTTTAATTCTGTGAATGGCTTAGTATACATTGTTCCGATCACGGGCATATGTCGCATGAAATCATCCATAGTTGGATATTTCTTGTGTTCAATAAATTCTTCTTTGCTTATGCAATTATCGCCTTGACAATAATACTAGAAACAAATTTCTCGTAAATAATAATATTTTCATCGATATCACATAAATAGCACACACCTTCAACCTTAATTGAATACATATTTGAAGATTTAATTTGTAATCTACATAAAATATCTTTAGGAATTATAGTACTTGAGGGAGAAGTATTATGAAAAAAGGAAGTAGTAGTAAAGTACCGTTCCTGAATTAGTCAGAAACTTAGAGATAAAATGAGAAGATGTAAAAAAAAATAAATAAAAGTACAAATGAGAGAAGGAAATGAATGAAATACGTTTTTGTAATATTATATTACACAAAGTCAGAAAGAAAAAAAAATATCCATTCTAAATGAGAATCCAACTTGGACACTTCTGAAAGACGGTGGGATGGATGAGGCGATTAAATTAAAGTAATTTTTTAAAATAAGCTACGATACCCTGCAATTTGACAATTTACAATAATTTTTTTGTATTTTTAAATATGTATTTTTCATAAATATATATNGGGGTAGGGGGTAATAGATCTCGTCTTACGTAATATTCTTAGTTTTATTTTTTTATCTTGTTGAGTGGTGGAGTTTTGAATTTAGCTTCAATTTGACGGTTTCTATTAAGAACGCTCGTACCAATGCCATCTTGTGTGACGTGATAGAATAATAACGCTAACAGACTCACGCTCTACACATTTTTTATTATGGGAGAAAGGCCGTGTGGTGGTCATGGGCGTAGCCAGAGTTTTGTTATGGGGGTCCTAGTGGAGGCCAACCTGACACAAAATTGAATTATTTCAAATTATTGTTCATTATTGGGCACCGAGCAAGCCGTTCACCTTTTTTCAGTATTCAAAACTTTTATTTTNAATATGCTTTTACTTTTGCTTACTTTTAGTAAGAAGCTTTTACTTTTCTTACTATATTTAGTAAGAAGTTTGTTTTTGTTTGTAGTAAATTATTTTAATTTGATAAATAATCTTGAATAATAAAAAATAATTTTCAGGGCCAGGAAAGAATCGTGTTGTTCGTCACGAAAAGCTTCAACAGCAATTAACAGAGATTGCTTTTTGGATGAAAGTCTGCTTCAGATATATAGAAGAATTTTCTTGAATAATAAAAAAATAATTTTCAGGGCCAAGAAAGAATCGCGTTGTACATGACGAAAAGCTTCATCAGCAATTAACAGAGATTGCTTTTTGGATGAAAGTCTGCTTCAGATATTTAGAAGACTTTTCTTAAATGCCGATTGTTATAAACAAGTGTAACTTTTAAAAGACATTTTTAATGAATTTTATTACTTTGTTTTATTATAATTGATTTAGGTATTTCCTGACATTTGGTACATGTTTCGATATAATTCAACAACAATTACCAACAATCGTCTGATTTTATTGAATATATTAATGACTATAATAAAAGTATTTAAGNTCAGGGCCAAGAAAGAATCGCGTTGTACATGACGAAAAGCTTCAACAGGAATTAACAGAGATTGCTTTTTGGATGAAAGTCTGCTTCAGATATTTAGAAGACTTTTCTTAATGCCGGTTGTTATAAACAAGTTTAACTTTTAGAAGACATTTTTAATGAATTTTATTTCTTTGTTTATTTATAATTTGATTTTATATTGAGATATTTTGGCATTTTGTTAGTAATTTTTGTTGAATTATATCATCTGATTTTATTGAATATGTTAATGACTACAATAAGAGTATTTAATTGAACTTTAAACTTGTATACTATAAATTCTATGTACATAAGAAAGATACATCGCTTTTTAAAATAAATAGCAATCTATTAATTACATTCCTGGTTGTTATGTATAAATGAGTAAGAATAAAATGATCTTCACTCAAGAATTTTACATTCGTTGGCTTAGGATATCCTGAAACGTCTAGAACAGCAAAAAATTTCGGAGGTATTTTCTGTATGTATGGATGTTGGGTGGTGTGTTTGTGTGTGAAATTTTCTTTAATTTTGCTATATGGTTTGTTTTTAATGAGCATTAGTCGCGTGGAATTTTGGTAATTAAAGGTCGAAGGGGTGGGAAGATAATGGAGATCGTGTTTATCTCCAGTAGGGCCAAACGTCATGACAATTTTTCTTGTTATTAGCATCTAAACTTTTATATCAAACCCATCCCTATCCTCAAAATTTTAATGTTTTGCTATTTTACAACGGTTAATAAACGGTTAATAAAATCTTTTTATATTTTTAAAATGTCGTAACAGATGGCGCCACCAAATGTTTGGGAAAGTTAAGCAACTCGTTGCTGGTTTTTTTATTTGGTATGGCAAAACCATAATTATTTTGATATTACTGTATTTCAATAATAATAAACTTTAAATTTTACCACTTTTGAAATGTATCACGGGAAAGTATTGTAATCATGTGAAGTTGGACACTCCGACTTTTTTGCAAATCTGGAACGTTGTGGGATTCCTTGTACCCAAAAAATAAAATTAAAAGAGAACATTTCATGTATGAGTGTGTATTGGCATTTATTTCTAATTCTTTTTCAATAGATCAGATTTAATGAATAAATTGCTGCACCTTCGTATATATCTAAGCAGCAATTTGGCATTTTCTCTTGACATTATAATTTATCATTATCTCATGAGTTTGGTAATAAAAAGTTTCTATAATATTCTATAATTTCGTGGTTCGTCGGGCTCGCGCCTAACCAACGGATAGCCGCGTAGAGTTTACCGGGTTTTCATCACCTGTCTAATAAGTAGGGTGCAGTTTACCATAGAAAGTCCTTCCGGGAGGCACCTCCTTTAGCAGATTGCCCCGAATATTGAGTTGCCTTAATTCATCAATCTGTCGAATCTACCGTTCGTATATTGTGTATACAATAGAAACTCGATTTTCCGAATTTGATGGGACCAGTAGTCAATACAGAAAATCGTTTATTTATTTTTTATTTATTTTATTATTACTTTTTTATTAGTTTTGGTTTTATCGCCCATAGTACATTTAAAATATTCGTAAGCAATAAATACTGTACTATTCGTAGGTATTGTACTATACTCTGTAGTATGTACTACAATGCTGGTTCTAGATTTTTAAAAATTGTTTCGGATAATCGAGTTTCCACTGCATTAATTAATTAAACAATTTTAAATACATTTTAAAACCATTTTATTGCAATTCTATGAAACACTTTTCATAGATACGATCAATTAATCAAGATCATAATAAACACTTTTAATTAAACCTAAGGTTTTCTCAGTGAAGTTAATTTCATCATCTCGAATTTCTGCATCATTAATTAATTTATCATTCAGAGATTTTGTTACTTCGTACAGTTGTACAGTAGAATCTCTTACATCATTTTTATTAGCTTGTCGAATTACATGTTTGTCAAGTGCTTCAAAAATATGTTTTGCTGGATTGTATACGTTCTTAACGTTTTCCTTCGTTACCGATTCGTAATCTTCATCTAATTTCTTGGCTTCTGCAGTCAAAGCGTCTACCATACCAGCAATTTCTCTGCTGTTTAATTGTGTGAATGGTTTAGTATACATTGTTCCGATCACAGGCATATGTCGCATGAAATCATTCATAGTAGGATATTTCTTGTGTTCAATAAATTCTTCTTTGCTTATGCAATTATCGCCTTGACAATAATACTAGAAAGAAATTTCTCGTAAATAATAATACTATCATCGATATCACATAAATAAAACACACCTTCAAACTTAATTGAATACATATTTGAAGATGTAATTTGTAATCTACATAAAATATCTTTAGGAATCACAGTACTTGAGGGAGAAAAAGTATTAAGAAGTAGTAAAGTGAAATCCTGAATTAGTAAGCAACTTAGAGATAATTTTAAAAAAATGTACAGAAAAATAGAGGTAAAAATGAGAGAAGGAAATAAATGAAATTCTCTTTTTTTATATTAAATTACACAAAGTCAGAAAGGTGAAAAATGTCCATCCCGAATGAGAATCCAACTTGGATACTTCTGGAAGACAGTGGGAAGGACGAAGCGGTTAAATTAAAAATTTTTTTTTAAATAAGCTGCGATTCCCTGCAATTTAACAATTTACGAGAATTTTTTTGTATTTTTAAGAATATATTTTCCATGAATAAATGAAAGGAGGAAATTTTATATACGCAATGATGAACTCTAAATCTATAGGCAATGTTTAGTACTAACTTATAAAGAAAATATCTAATTTAGTGTAATGTATTTAACCATTTGATTAATTACAAATTTATGTTTTAACGTAAATTTCTAGAAATACACACACCCTTTCACAACTTAATTAGTACTTGGAGAACTGAAAACCCTCGTAAACCGCTAATTCTTAATTGCTATCAGCTTATTGTCAGAAAATAAGCTTACGTTTCTGAAAATACATATTATTATTATATAATTTTGAATTTTGAAAACTACTTTTATGATTCAACTGGTTTCTAAAAAGCGATCCAGCGAGTTACATAATTACTGTAAGATTAGTGTCATAAATTTCGATTACTTTCTCGGAAATAATACTTCATAAAAATGGCCAACATTTTTCCTATTCTTTTCGCTTTAAGAGGGATTTAACTAGACTCATCGTAAAGTCCGTTCTGGCCTTTATTCCCCATCGTGCATTTTGTAATGAGTATAGAATAAAGGTCACAATTAATGATCAGGTGTTGAGGGATAAGACAGACTATTTCTAAAAAATCCTAATTCTTTTTGACCGCCTTAAAGCAGGATCTACTAAACTTCAAACACTATGTATATTTATCGAATAAGTGACATAAAATTCCTACCCTTTTCTGGTTTCTTCTCGCTTTTTCTTCCATACGTACCATCAAACAAGCTGGTAACTGCAACGTAAAGGAAGTACAGTACATTAAAACAACCCTTCAACGTTCTCTTTTACGTTAAAAGCTACTTACCAAAAATTAAGAATAGAGAGAAAGAACGAATCAACTTCATCGTCAGATGCTAAATTATGATCTAAGTGTTCACTCGAAAAATTTTGTATAATTGCCACGTAAACTTTTATCAAGTTGTTTGTCAATCAGGGTTTCCAGATGTATTTATACAATTGTATTTGCAGCAACTACCTATACACTTCTACCATTTATTATATACTTTAAAATATATTTATTAATTAATAAATAAATTGAAAATATTTTAAAATTATAATTAAAACTGTAAGATTTTTTTAAAGATTAAGTTTATCTGTTTAATTGATTCATTTATTTAAATACCTTAATAAAGGACCACGTAGTTATTGCAGTGTTATAATGCCAGTCATTTATATGTTATAACCATTAGAATTTTAAGGAAATTAAACTTAATTGTAATAAAAATATAGGCTTATATTTTATTCTCTATAAACTCATCTGTGTACAGGTATATTTACTGCAAATGCCACATTCTACACTTGTTTACTAAATTTCAACATCTGCACATTCGTACATAATTTACAGGATAATTTTAATAAATTTATTTAAATTTAGAATAAATTTTTCTATTAAAAATTATTATTGTACTGCACTTGTTTTAAAATTTTTATGAAAGAAATTGTGTTTTAATTATTCGTGTTTATCAGAGAATTGTCATTACTTTCATGACTAAAAAACAATAGTTAAATCAAATTTGTGACAAACATTAAGCAAACTAATTAATTTAACAAAGTTTAATTAGCTGTAGATTGGTGTTCATTACATATACAATTTTTCAAGAAGTGTAATATTTTATTATATATATTCAGTAAAATATACTGTTCTCGAGGTTATATCGGTGTCTCATCGCCGTATTACTTCTAATAACATGGCGATGAGACACTGATACGTCCACTCAGTGTCAAATTTCGTTTTTTAAAGAAATTTTGAATTTCACTGGTAAAATACATATAAATTATTAATGTATAGAAAACATTACTATTAAAATAAAAATAGGCAAAAGTTAATCTATTGTAAAACCGTATAAAATAATTAAAAAATCAAGTTACTAATTATGTAACTCTGCTCTCAATTGTATAATATGCTTTAAGGAAAGTTTAACTATTATTAATATTATCGTTATTAATAAAATAATTAATTATTAAAGAATTTAACAAATATTAAGCTATAAAATGTAACACGTACGTACCATTTTCCCGACGCCATATTGAAACGTTTCGCATTAGTTCGCGCCTCAATCGACCTTTACATATTACTCTTTATTTTACTATAAAAAGTTCGATTTTAACATATATATACATATATAAATAAGGAGTTAAAGTACTCTTACTGTAATAATTAGTAGTAGATCTATTTATTAAACATTCAATACATTACACTTATTTAATATCATCATAAATCATTTTGATTGTTTTAAGTGTTTTTTCGGTATATTGTATTTCGTAATCTCGAATTTCCGGATCTTCGTACAATAAATTATTTAAAATATTAGTTGCGTGATATAAGTTTTCAGTAGAATTTTTAATTTTTTCTATATTAACCAATGGAATTTTCTTATTTTTGACAGCTTCGTAAAGATGTTTGGCTGGATTGAATACGTTTTTGATCGCTTCTCGTTTGATAAAACTTGCATTAATTATTTTATACACTTCAGTAGTTAAAACATCAATCATATTGATAAATATATCAGTGTTGATATCTTCGAAAGCGGTATGATACATATCGCCGATGAAAGGCATATGTTTCATAAAATTATTGAAATTAGAATATTGTAAATGTTCCACAAATTCTTCTTCAGTGATGCAGTTGTCTTCGTAGCAAACGAACTAGAAAGAAGACTTTTTTTATTATTATATTATTTCAATATACAGTATATATAGAATTTGTTCTACTGAATATCGCAATAACAAAGTGTGCCAATAACCAGTGCCAAGCTCCTCGCCAGAACAGGCTGGCCACGTGGAGTTTTCCGTGTTTTCTCCACGCCTTTAATGCCTAAATATGGGCCAGTTACCCCTTTAAAAAAAGACTTTTTGGAAGGCCTTTCCCTAGACCCTAGTCAAATCGCACAAGTGTTGCATTGCTATAACTTAACTAAACAAAGTGTAAAATTCAATTTATGGATGGTCCAACAATGGTGGTGAAGTGGATAAAATCAGTGAACATTGGCAGTTGGTTGCGGATTCCTGACCACGCGAAGTTTCCTGAGATATTTTTAAGTGTTTAAGTCTAAATAAGGATCACTTTTGTATTGATAGTCCTCCTAGGAGATATTTTTCTTTGGCATATGGTCCATATGGTTTGCATTGTCTTATCCCAACAATCCTATCTTCCATTAATCTGGTCCAGTATAATGATTATAGAAATGGTATTCTGTAGCCACAAACAGCCGAGAAAGTAGTAATGAATGTCCTGTTACTCATAGTCGTTTCATCGTGGATCTGGTCAAACCCACAATGGCTTGATGAAAAAAATCCTTGTTAATGCGTAAACGGCAAAAACAATTTTTAAATATCTCAATACAAATCTGTAGGGTATAGTGTTATAGTCAACATTTTTGAAAATAAATTTCAAAGTTTTTTTTTAACTGATAGCTTTCTCTTTTGTTCGGGGAATTTGTGACAACCGTTCCTGAACTCTTCTGATAAGTCCAATTTGTTCAATGAGTGTCAGTTCCTGAATTTCTGATCGATAAGACAGCCATAATGTGAATTTATAAAGGTCAGATCATTATTTTATTATATTTATTTGGTAAATAAAATTTTTATGTTTTTACAAGTAAAGAAGTAAAGTGCTCAAAGTTGCTTTCTGTATCCGATTCAGCTAATCCAAATTTTATCAATATTTTATTAACGTGGCATAACTGGGATGTTGTATGAATAGGTGCAAAATTAATATATTTAATAAGGGTAGAGCTATATAAGGCTATTAAAATCCTATCATCAAATCTGCTCATTACAAGCTATAACTCAATCTTCTTGAGAAATTGGGAATAGTTTGCTTTATTCCTTTGTGACGACGCGATACATGGGCGATCTGCCGAGGGGTAATGCCTCCCAAGAGGTCTTTTATGGGAATGTGGCCCCAATTTAGGTGTTACTAACGTGAAAAAAACCAAGAAAACTTCATCAGCCGTTGTGAATTGCGAATCCACGACCATCCACTTGGTTATTAGTGGGCGAAATTGAAGATAAAACTGTAGCCAAAACTATTTATGAGTATTTATGAAAACCATCATAAATTTAATCCCTAAATTTAAGAAATCTCTTAGAAAACCATCATAAATTGATTCACTTCAAGATTTGAACCTAGATCCTTCAGGAAACTATCTTAAGGTGTTACTATCCAATTGCTTCCATTGTGGACCTGGTCGAACCCACGATGGGTGCAGGAAAAACATCCATCTGAGTGTCTACAAGGCAAAAACAGTTAAAAATACAATAAAACTTACATAATCTTTTTTTGCATTCGTTCTTCTTCCTCTTGAATACTCCAAAAAGTTGATCGCTATACAAACAATTGATAAATTAATATGTATACAATTTTTCTCACATTTTACTTTGTTAATTCAACCAATTCACTTACACATAACTAAAAAAATATAAAATGATGCCACTATCATCATCACACTACCACTTTGTATCTACGTATCGCTGTAATGTGTTAATCGACAAATGTATATGTCTTGGCAACACTTTTAGTTTGATTAAAATACGACTTAGACATATCCTGGCAGCACTTCAATTTTATATAATGCCTCCAGTTCTAAGTGTTGGAGCCGCCATATCTTGGCAACGGTTAATTTTATCGATTAAATTCTCGTTCTTGTGTTTTTGGTCTACCGATTCTAACATTTGATATCAGCTTAATAGCTATAATTACAATAATTACGTGTAAATAATATCAAATTGAATAGTAAATATCATAAATTATGAAGAAACTACTTATAGATAAGAATATATTAATTTTTTTCCAATAGAAAATAGAAGGTAAAGTATTGTTATCTGATAATTTCAAACTTTATTTGATGGTATCCACCAGTGGCTAATTGGGTAAAACCACTGAATACTGGTCATGGGTTCGCGCCTAACTAACAGGATAGTTTTTCTTTGCGTGCCTCATACTTGAATAGAAGTAAGTTTCCTATAGAAAAGTACTCCAGGATGACATACCCCTCTGGCAGATCGCCCAATGTTGCCTTATTCCATACTATACCATACTTATGGTTAGATTTTTTTAATGTTTTTGCTGTGTACTCTAAAAGGGCCTTCCTTCTATACCGGTAATGAGCACGACCAGGCCCAGAATGGGAGAAGCCTTGTGGTGAGGACATATCTCGGAGAATAAAGCTACTTACAGACTTGTTATAAAAAGGATTATTAATGATAAATAAACAAGTAAAATCAATGTAAATGTATGGGTTAATTATAAATTACAATCTATCCATAATATTTTGAATTTATTAGTATTTAATACCATTAAACTGGTAAAGAATTACACCAGAAAAGGAGAACGTAATGTGAGTTGTGTGGTGTTAACACGGGGGAAAAAAAAAACATATAATCGAACATGTCAATAGAATGTGTGGGATGGGACCACCTACGTTCTGGACAAAAGACAAGTAGGCAATCTACTGTCAATAGTTCGAGTCCCAAGACCAAATTTCCGATAATCGAAAGAGATTGATTAATCATTCATAATGTTAAATACTCTGAGTTTCGTTAGTGTTAGAAAATTATAGGATCCGAACCCGTCTTTTCTTTTATTGACAAGTGTATACACTCAAGTATAGAAGTTTATAACTGTGTTATAAACTTCTATACTTGAGTGTATTACTGATGTAGGAGTGATGAATTATTATCGTTATCTAGGGTTCGGTTCTTATTTAGGGATTCTGAATAATAACCAAGAAAAGTTCTTGATTATAAAAATAAAATGAGTAAAACGTGGGTTCGATTGTAATAGAGAAGTACAGAAATGTCGTGGGTTCGGATCATATTCGGATAAACAACCGAACCCACGACTTTAGTTCAGAAACGAAAAAAATTATATTCTTCTATTGGATTTAAAAAAAAATTCGATTTGTTTGAAGCTTAATGCTGAATAATTTTCATTCTAATTAAAAGGGTTTTATTAAACTAATTACTCTCATTAATTATTATAAGATAACATTTCTGAAAATGAGAAGCTTAAAGCATTATCTTAAAATTTTCCAATAATATTTATTAAACAAAACTTTATAACTTTAATCAATTCGATTTAATTAAAATTCATAAAAATATAAAAAAAAAAAAACACT